TGTAGCAAAAACCTCTCAAAAAAAAAAAAAAAAGATGGGAAGGTGGCAAATAAACAACCAAACATCATGCTTCAGGGAGTTGAAAAAAAATATATCAGGAGAAAATAAATAATAAAGAATAGAGCAGAAATAAATGACATAGAAAAATAAACAAACTATAAGGAAATAAATGAAAGCAAATGCTGGTTCCTTGAAAAGATTAACAAGATTGGCACACATTAGCCAGACCAATTAAGAGGAAGAAAGAAACCAGATAAATCAAATACATAATAAAATAGGCAATATTACAACCGACGCAATTTAAGTACAAAACATCATTAAAGGATACTATGAGCAACTATATGCCAACATACAAGAGAACATGGAGGAGATAGACAAATTCCTGGATGCATATAGTCTACCAGTATTGAATCAAGAGGACATAGAAACCTGAACAGACCAATAACAAGTCATGAGATTGAATCAGTAATAAATAACATCCCAGCAAAGAAAAGCCCAGGTCCTGATGGTTTCACTTCTGAATTCTACAAAACTTTTAAAGGAGAGTTAACCCCCATTCTACTCAAATTATTTCTAAAGATATAAAAGGAAGGAAACCATCCCAATTCATTTTATGATCGTCCATCATCTTCATTCCCAAAACAGGTAAAGACATGAAAAAAATAATAAAAACAAGAAAAACTACAGACCAATACTTCTGATGAATATAGATGCAAAAATTCTCAACAAGATACCAGCAAGTCATATCCAACAACATATAAAAATGATTATACATCACAATCAGGTAGGCTTTATTCCAGGGATGCAAGGGTGGTTCGACATAGTCAAGGTAATAAACATAATTTATTGTTATTGCCTTGCCATATGTTAATAATACACCATATTAACAGACAAAAACCATATGATCATTTCAATTAATTCAGAGAAAGCACTCAACAAAATAAAACATCCCTTCATGATTAAGACTCTCAACAAGATTGGCATAGAAGAGTCATTTCTCAACACAATAAAAGTCATATATGAAAAACCATTATACTGACTGTGAAAAATCTGAAAGTTTTTCCACTAAAAACTGGTACTAGACAAGACTGTCCACTTTCTCCACTCGTTTTCAACATATTGCTAAAGTCTTAGCCAATGCAATCAGAAAAGAGAACAATATAAAAGGCATGAGGTAGAACTGAAGAAAGGAACTCCTTTTACCAGAGCCACAAAATGTATAAGAACCAAGGAATAAACCTAACTAAGGAAGTCAAAGACCTTTACAATGAAAACTATGACAATCTTAAAAAATGATATTGAAAAAGACACAAAAAAGTGGAAGGACATCCCATGTTCTTGGACCGGAAGAATTAATATAATCGAAATGGCAATTCTATCCAAATTAACCTACATATTTAATGCAATCCCAATCAAGTTACCAGAGACATTCTTCACAGATCTAGAAAAGACAATCATAAATTTTGTCTGGAATCATAAAAGACCTTATATAGCCAAAGCAATCCTGAGCAAGAAGAATGGAGTGGGTGGCATCTCACTCCCTGACCCCAAAATATAATATAAAGCTGTGATAATCAAAACAGCATGGTGTAGGCACAAGAACAAACAGGTGGACCAATGGAATAGAATAGAGAGCCCAGAAATAAACCTGAAAGCTTACAGCCAACCAATTTTTGACTAAGAGTACCAGTCAATCCACTGGGAAAGGGGAAACCTTTTTAGCAAATAGTGCTGGAAAAACTGGGTATCCACCTGCAGAAAAATGAAATTGGATCCCCATCTTTCACCATTAATAAAAGTCAAATCAAAATGGACCAAAGATCTGAACCTATTACCTCAAACCATAAAACTACTGGTGAAAAACACTGGGGAAATTCTGGGAGACACTGAGGCAGGCAAAGAATTCTTAAATAAGACTCCAAAGGACAAGTAATAATCCCCAAAATAGACAAGTGGGGTTACATCAGATTTAGAAGTTTCTGCACAGCAAACGACACAGTAATTAATGTGAGTCAACAATCCTCAGAATGGGAGAATAGTTTTGTAAACTATGCCTTGAATAAGGGAGTGATAACCAGAATACACAGGGAACTCAAGCAGCTTACCAAAAACAAAGAAAATAAAAAATGATTAACCCAATTAAAAGATAAGAACATGAGCTGAACAAAAAAACTCTCTAAGGAAGACATATGAACAGCCAAAAAACATACGTGGAAATGCTCAACACCCCTCACCATAAGGGAAATGCGTGTAAAACCACAATGAGATATCACCTAACTCCTGTCAAAATGGTGAAGATTAAAAATACAAAAGTAGTAAGTGTTGGTGGGATTGTGGTGAAAGGGGAACTCTCCTACACTGTTGGTGAGAATGCAAATGGGCCCAGCCACTGTGGAAAACAATATGGAGATTCCTCAAAGACCTACAAATAGAACTACCATATGATCCAGCAATCCCAGTCCTGGGTATCTACTCAAAGGACAGAGCACTCATTCAGAAAAGCACTTGCACATCAATGTTTATTGCAGCATTATTCACGATTGCCAATATTTGGAACCAACCCAAATATCCATGAACAGATAAATGGATTGAAAAAGTATGGCACATACACTCTGTGGAATACTATTCGGCCATATATATATACCGATTGTCTGCACTCTATGGTAGAGATTAAAAGATTGGAGGACATAAAAGCAGTGAAAATAGTTATGGACACTGGAGATACTGGAGTGTGGAGGGAGGGTAGGAGAAGGGAAGAGTATAGGGAGGAAATCAGGAAGGAAAAATAGAGAAGCAAGACATTTGTGGGACACGGATATGGTTTATTGCCTATTGACGATAATGTGTATGGTATTCTCAACTGGCTCGGTCTGAGGTGTATTTCATGTTGGATAAATTCTCTTTACAAGCCAAATGATGTATAGTGATCAAATGTTAAAAAAAAAAAAATACTAACAAGGATAAAAAGTTAGAAGAAAGAAAGAAAGACCAGATAATCCTTAATGTCATCACATTGTAAGACCTGACTTAGCCCCACATCAATGTTCTCTCCAACTCCTAAACCCCACTAGACCTTTTTAGTCCACCAAACTCACTGGCTCTTTCTAGCCCCAGGGCTTTTATGTGCAGTGGCCAGCCTAGAATGCAAGTCGCACTAGCTGCTCTGCTTCTGGGCCAGTTGTTTTCTCCTCAGGGAAGTCTTCCAGACCACCCTATTTTGGCTCAATTATTCTATAACAGCAACTCAAAGCTGCAAAATTGTTGTCACTGTGTTGGTTTCATTCCTTTTCTATTTCCTCCTCTCTTCTTTTTAAAGTTTGTCCATTTATTTCCCCCACAAGACAAAGCGAGACCACCTCAGAGTTCCACCATGCCTGATTCTCCCCCAACCTTGCAGCGAAGTGGGATGACAGCTATCTGACCTGAACATGCCACCCAGGATCCAACACTCGGACTTCCCATATGGCTCCAGCACTGAGCAGAGGTACCCTACTGCCTGCACCACTGAGACAGGCCAGCCCGAGTTTCAGCAGAACTGCAGCCATTTTGAAATTAAGAAAGGCCTGTAAGAACAATCTGACCAAATACTGAGTCACAGGGAGATCTGTTTGAGGAATAGTCAGATGAAAAACCAGGAATGGATATTTGAAGAAAAACAAGAATCAGGACAATTGCTCATAGGAAAGTAATTGATTCATTGTTGTGAAGAATGGTTTGCACATGCTCATATCTTAAATCTATAAATACTGAGCACAGGCTGAGTTTTGTGAGACAGTTCAGTGGTTCTTGCTGCCTGTCTCCCTATAACCCAGTTGCAGAAATAAATGCCCTTCTTCTCCAGCTTCTGCCTCTCGTTTTATTATCTGCAAGTAGAACACCCAGACTTAGTTTGCTGGAAACACTACCATGACCTTCTATTTATTTTTGCTCCCAATGAATGTCTGTTCCCCTACTGGTCTCTAAATTTTATGTGAACAAGAACTATGCCTGGTTTTGCTCAGCTCTATAACCCAGCGCTTGCAACTAAGTGGTGCATAACAAGTGTCTGGTGAGTATTTAATGGGTGAATGCTACAGACAAGGCAGTAGAAGATGACTGGGAAGAGTCCTTTGGCACACAGAGGCTGTGCTGTCTATTCAGAGCAGAATCTACAAATAAAGATCATTCTACTCACACAACTTCCCAAGCTGGAGCATCAAGGAGTTCAGCATTTGTTACTGATAGGCATGCATTACAAATTTGGGATTTGTAATGGGACCACCCATCTCCATGAGAGCTTAAGTTGAAACGACAGAACATGGTCCCACTGAAGAAGACACCATGGGAAGGGCCTAAGGAAGACCCTTTGGCACTGGTGTGTTCTGCGTGTCTCCACCTGGTTTCCTGCATCCCACACTCTGAGGGGTGTGCAGAAACAGTCCACCATGCTCAGTGAGCCTTACCTGTCAACCCAGCCAGGATGCCCAGCACAGCAAGGAGGCCTCTCCAGCTGTCCTCCATCTCCACATGGTCTTCTACCTGGAAAAGTAAAGCAAGCAGGTCACAGCCACCACCGAGGCATGTCTGCAGTCAGAGAAGGTCTGTGCACCACTGACAGCAGCTCAGGAGTGTCCGGGGTAGATCAGATCAGTGCACCTCACATGGTTACCAGCAGCAGCCTCCCCAGAGAGCCTGTTAGGGAGGCCCATTCTTAGGCCCACCCCAGATCTAATGAAGCAGACACTCTGAAGGGTGGGCCCAGCAACCTGAATTCAAACAAGCCTGCTGGATATCCTTGTGTATGCACAAATAGGAGAATCCTTGAATTAAGTGCTCTTACCCACACACCGACGTAAAACTGCTGGGAAGCAAATGGGATAACCTGACCACTGAACCATGAACCAAGAGCATGGGCTTACTGTGATTCATTTAGATCATAATGCTTTAATTATTGAGAAAATAAATTCTGTCTACATTCTCAAGAGAGAAGACAGGTAACAAAATGAGCAAATAGATGATTTAGCCTATTAGAAGGTGGCAAGCAGTCTAGGGGGAATTAAGCCAGAAGAGGTGAGTGTACAGGGAGTGGGCTGGCTATCACTTCAAACAAGATGGTCAGAGAAAGGCTCTTGGCAAGGTGCACTTGAATGAGGGGACGAGACAATCACATAGCCATCATGGCACAGGAACAGCAGGTGCAAAGGCCCTGGGGTGGAGCTGTGCCAGGCCTGTTTGAAGAACTGCCGAGAGGGCTCTGCGTCAGAGCAAAGGGTGAGTGGACAGAGACAAAGTCAGAGCTAGGGGAAGCCCAGATCAACCAAGGAAGACCTAGCCACCCAGCTGGCACAAGAGAGCATTGTACCATATACATCTCGAGACTCTTTGTTCTTTGACAGCTTTGCTCACTCCTGCATGTTTTCTTTTTGCTTTTTCCTTCTTCCCAGATCAGGCCTATCCAAGGCACTCGCCACACAACGTGGTCCCCCTGGAACATTTAGGGTTAAATCACCTAAATGCTGAACATACCCTGAGCCATTTGTAAAAACAACATTCCTTAGCCTCAGGAAAAGGTCTCTTTATTTCAAACATTCCTCCACAGCATCGATGTGTAGAGCTCAGTGACCTGGGGTGGTTCTCACTTCAACCTGGCATCCACACAGACAACACCGCCCTGAGAGGGGCTCCACTTGTTCCTTCAAAATGTGAAGTGCCAGGTTTCATGCCCTGTGGCAGAGTGATATCATGTGTTGACACCCTCATCCAGAGCTCTGGTTTCTTTTCTTCTCCTACAGGCCCTAGAAGGCAGACCCACAAACCACCTGAGGCTGAAACACAGGGCCTGGAATGAATACCAGGACAATTACACCTCCTCTGATGACACCTTCAAGTTGCTGAATAACACACAGAATGTTTCTGTGAAAGATAGCAAGATACTAGAGCTAAGAAACTAACACATATTTCACATGTAACTGAGTATTTACAGCTCATGAGAAGAAAAAGGGGGTTCCTACCCCTTTTGTTTTCCTGATGCCTTCCGAAAGCAAACTTTGGCCTGTGCACTGAAATATAATTACTCATGTGTTTAATGTAAGGGTCTAAAAATCTGTGTTGCAGGTCCAGCCACAGTGGCACAAATGCTAGTATGTTGCATCTGCGATACTAGAGCCATATGGAAGACCAAGATTCAGATCCTATGATGGAAAACTTACCCTTGGTAATAATCTACAGTGGATCCCACAAACCCCTACAATTATGACTCAGTAACAAATTGGACAGCAGCTGCACACAAACCAAAATGAAACCATAGCCTTCCAAGATTGATCCAAGTTTCAGAATTAAGAAGCACCAAATAAATCATTTACAAATTTTCGAGGTTCAATCAACACAAGTTGACAAGTAGATGGTTCTACCAGTCCCCTGGAATGCAAGGCTGTAGCTGAGGACGATGGGGAAACTGAGCCATCTAGTTTAAAAAGGTTACACATTCTCCTGAGCGTAGTAACTGGCAAGTGTGAACCCAGTGTTATTGAAACTAAAGCAACAGATTAAGGTCCATTAGGAAATGCATCCAGTCACTGATAACGAAGTTGATTCAGGCCACAGACTAAAAAGAAATGACTTAACTTACTTAATGCTCCATTCTGCCAACATCCTCACATGCCATTCTCATTTTTTCTCAGTACGAGAGAATGAGACTGTAAAGAGTTTAGCAGAACAGGTCAGCTACATGCGGAGAGCTCCAGAAATTGCACTGCAGGGTCAGCACACCAATTTGGGAGGTGGGTGGGGGGCAGTATTTGAAGAGTATATGCAGTTAAAATGTTGTTAAAGCTGATTTCAAATTTAACTAAAACCAGGCAAGTTGCTTTAATTAAGTGAGGGCCTATGCCAGGTGTTGGGGGTTAATATCTTTTTGGGTTAGTTTTACAGAGACCTGAGATTTAACTTCTAATTTATTTCATTATGGAAGACTTTAATTGCCTATTTTTAGCTGAAAAGTTGAAAGACTTTTTAAAATATTAAGGCTTATTAAATTACATTAAACAGACAGGATTTAACACATCCCACCCCTCACAAATTCCTTACTACACTGACAAGGCAAGAACACTCAGAAGATCTGTCAAGACTCACCATACTAGTCATCTCAGGAATAGAACTGCTAAATCTCATTATCTCACTTAATTAACCCCTATTTATGGGTTGTTGGAGATAGTTTGATATTGTAACCTCCCATGTACCTGCAAATGTCCTGTTTTAGGGAGCAGTATGAAACACAAGCCCAAACAGGAAAGAGGGCAGGTGGTTTCTCAGGGTTAGTGGGAATTAGCTGTAACAAACCGTGAGTGGGGCTCACTCACAGCCTCCATATTAAATAGAAAAACCTCAGGCTGGACCATGCCATGGTGGTTAAGGGAGTCGCATCCCACATGGCTGACCAAGCAGTTCAAATTCCAGAACTGACAGTTTGAAAACACAGCAGGTGCATGTGTATGTGCATCCAAAATCCCAAAGAGTAGAGGATAAGGAATTTTGGTGTGGCCATTCCCCATGGAAAATGTTTTTTCACTTCCCCCTTTCTGTCTGTCTCCAGCAAACACACACACTCTCTGGCAAAATTAAAAATTAAATTAAATTAAATTAAATTAAATTAAATTAAAAAGACACCAACATTTCTTCTACACTCGAAGACTCCAGGTCTGTGTGCTCCTACATGGGGCAGACCATCTCAGAACTTACAGAGTCTTTGAAATAATTCTACTTTTCAAAAGCCCTTCTTGTTAGAGGAAAATGGCATTTACCAGTTTGTCCAGTGAACAATACGAGTCACAGTAATTTTTCAGCACTTGGATACCAGCACCCTAAATTCCAGGTAAGTCTCAGTTTTCAACACATCCTAAGAACAGCTCACTGTGAAAGTGACACTCACTCATTAGAACTCGTCTCAAATTTCTGAACTCTCCATTTTTAACTGTGCGGAAGTTGGAAAACAAAGATTATGTGCGTGATCATCCAGCTCCTCCCTGGGAAACCCAGCTCTAGGGGTCCCTGTGGAGAAATCCACTAGACAACCCATTGGAGGAGAGCCACAAACCAGAGTTGTCTCACCTCAGGCAGGTAAATCTCTCTGTGGGAGCTTCGGCAAAGGTTCTCGAATTCCAAAAGGCTCCTTGGCTGTTCTCTCTCCACACAGACGCAGGAACAAAGCCAGTCTGGACACTAGTGAGTTCCGAGCCCTCTCACAGTAACAGGAAGTTCCTGACGAAATGACTCCTTCACGTCACAGGACAGGCTATAAACAGAGGTGGCCCTGCCACAGGCCCCAGCCTCCTGAAAGGTGGGAGCTCCACAGAGGCGCATATTCCCTGTTAATCATTAGCCAGCCCCAAACTGCAGCCAAACAGGAAGTCCAGGCTGGAGGCTGAGAAGGCAAAAGCCTCCGGACCACACCTCCACAGGGGACTCCGCTCCCTCTCCCTCCTTGGAGACTTCCACAGTCCTTCAGAGCCAAGACCCTCTCCCCAGTCCAGCTGTCCTTTTCCACCAGCTGGAGGCTGACGGGCTCCTTCCTGCCCTAAGTGCCCATGGACGTCGGCTTCACCAGTCAGCCTTGCTCCTCTTGGTGCCTGGCAGAGGCCTGGGGCTGGAGAAACCGGTTCCTTCTTTCAGACAGACATCCGCAAGAACAAGTCCTTTTAAGAAAGAAAAAAGTCCTAAGGGTGAGGCCTCTGGAATAAGACAGCTTCAGGAGTGCAGCAGTTTCCTGTTCAAGGCACTGTGACAACTTCTAGTAAAGACCGTCTCCCAAACCCTGATGCATGGCATCATACTGGGCCATCTGCTTTTATAGTGATTCTTTCTGAATATCTGACTTTTCTCCTCCGTTATATTCCAGTCCTATAGGGAGACTTGGACCCAAGAGCATCTGCCTATTACACAGCCACCAGCAGAAGATGTAGGTCACACATTTAAAGGAAGACCCAGACAGCAATAGAAGGGAGAAAATGCTGTCCCTTCCAGTTGAAAGGGATCAGAATATGCCACCCCAAAACATGCCACTTAGGCATACAGATGATTTTCAGTTGAAGACATTTGAGATTCCACAAATGCCAAAAAAGAGCCTTCTCAGAATTTCTCTCAGAAGACTAAAAGCAGGAACTTCTGAAAAATAAAGCAGACATCAATCCCTTATGTTTTTATTGAAGTACTATAATTTTATATTCAAAAATCTGCTTTTGTAAATTTCACCCACTGAACTAGGCTGAACAGCACCCACCCAGTGCTCAGGTTCACCCAGATCCTCAGAATGTGATCTCATTTGGAAGATCTAACCATTAGAATAATGTGAGACCATCCTGTTGAAAGGGTGGACCTTTAATCCAATATGACTGAAGTCCTTATAAGAGAGAAATTAGGTCACAGAGAGATAATATGAAGACTTAGGGGAAGAAGGCCATGTGAAGATAAAGGCAGGGCCAGAAAGTGGCATAGCAGCAAAAGATGACCCTGTGTGGCTCACCCACCTGGGAAGTTTCCCAGTTCGAGTCCAAAGGGTTCCTGAGTACCCTGGCATGTGTGTTCTCCCTCTCTCGCACACAAAATAAATGAACAATCTTCAAAAGAAAGGGATAAAAAGGAGAGAGAAGTCAGAGCAACGCAGCTGCAAGCCAAGGAGTGTCACGGACTGCCAGTCATGACCGGAAGCTAGGAAGAATCAAAGAAGGATTCTCCCCTCAGGTCTTCAGAGGAAGCCTGGTTCAGTTGACACCTTGATTTCAGACTTCTAACTTCCAGAGCTCTGACAAATTTCTGTTGTTTTAAACTACCTAATTGTGATACCTTATAACAGCAGCCACATGAATCTAACGCGCCACTTTACCAAATGACTCAAGTGTTTTTCCATAGATTTGTGTTCTTCTGAAATAATTTTACATGGCTAAACAATATGATGTTTTGTTGATGTAATAGCAGTTATCTAAATAATTCTTTATTACTAAACATTAAATTTACCTATATCTCATGCAGTAGAAATATTTTACTTAAACATCCATATATACATAGTAGAATATAATGTTGTATACAACTTTATATCCTTTCTAATTTAATACCATATTATAAGCCTTGTTGCATATCATTAAAAGCCACTCATAAATATTATTTTAATGGCTTCATAATAATATGCTACATTATGATACATAACAAAATGTCATTCAAAATATATTATAATGACTGTAAGAATTTCCATGTGGTTAACCACTATACTATTTCTGTTCTCAATATTGAAAATAATACTGAGATCAGAGTAGAGAGGGTTGGTTTTATTCCTTTGAGTTTGTATTTAGTACTATATCTTGCACTGGGCTCTTTCAATTAGAATCATATGTCAAGCATTAATCACTTTTAAATTATTGTTAAAGTTACATTAGTTTCCAGCCCTGTGCCAATTGATAGTCCTGACTGCAGTGTCTTAGATGGTTTATATCATTATACCTACAACAGCATGGAATATTGCCATTTTTGTGCGGGTGGTGTGCTTGGGTGCACAGTTGATAAATCTCCCTATAACTAAAAATTTGCAGAATGTTCTCAGCTCATTGTGCTCCTTGATTCACAAAATCCATTGAGGACAGTAGGCCAGAACACTGTGTCCTCATGTAATAATGCTACATGTAACTGTTACTGGCTGTCTTTAGCTTTTTAACATCAACCAGATCACCAGATACACAAGTAGCAGTTTTATTATTAAGATAAGGAATTCATCCTTTATACAACTACTCAAAAACTCGAGCCCAGCAAATTGTGTGGTGATAAAGGTGCTGAATCCCATATGGCTGATTGCACATTCAAGTCCAGGACTAGCATCGTGAAAAATATGCTGGGCACGTTTGTTTTACAATCTGGGCAGAGCTAGGCAGAGATGACCTGTCCTGTTTCACTCAGAGTCAGCTGGGACAGTTCTACTGGGGCCAGAGAATCCACTTTCAAGATAACCCATTCACTTTGACTAGAACCTTGATTGTGGCTAAGCTGAGGATCATTATTCTTCTCCACATGGACGATCTACGGGGCCAGTCGAGCTTTCTCACAGTACAGCAACTAGGTCTCAACCAACTGCATCAAGAGACAAGAAATGGAAACACTAGTCATTTACAACCTGGATCTAGAAACTGGTACAGTGTCACAGTTTTATTCCATGTTATTACAACTGAATATTTGAGTCTGGGTAATTTATAAGTTATGGAGGTTTGTGTAGTTCATACTTCAGAGGTCCAAGGTGATGGCAGAGGACATCACATGGCAAGGTGAAGCAAGAGCAGAGTATGTCTGTACCCATATCTGTCTCCTTCCCTCTCCTAATAAACCCACCAAGATCTTATTGTAGGGTCCCCACCCTTGTGACCTTAATGTAATCCTAATCTCTTCCCAAAGGGTCCACCTTTCAATTCCATAGACAAATTAAATTTTCACCCTTTTGATCCTGTCACAAGCAAATTTTATCACATGAATTTTATGGAGACCCATTTATTCAGACTGTGGCAGTCATTGTATTGGTTTTCTATTGCGGAAAAACAACTGCTATAAATGTAGTGTCTTAAAACTGTGCCAGCTTATTACTTCACAGTTCCATAGGTCATAATCTGGTCAGATTTGCCTGGGTTCTCTGGGCAGGGTTTCCTAAAGCCAAAATCACGTTATCAGTCAGGCTTAGTCCTCATTCAGAGGCCCTGGGAACAAATCCACTTCCAAGTTCATTCAGGGTGTGAATCAAATTCATCTAGAGGGTACTCTCAGCTCCCAAAGGTCACTTACATTCCCTGAAGCAAAATAAGCAACAACATGTCAAATCCTCCTACTGTTTCAAATCTTTGTCTTCCTTTACTGCTGCCTGCTGTAAATAATACTCTGATCAGACTGGGCCCTCTCAGGTCTTCTCCCTTTGCCCCATAAGGTAACATAATAACTTTTCATATGTCACATTCACAGGCTTTCCCACATTGGAAGGGAAGAACGTGTGTCACCAGAGGTTCTGCCTACCTTTCACACCCACAGTGCCCTGTTAGCCAAGCAGTCAGAAGCCAGATTCAGGGAGGAGAGATTTAGATCCCAGGTCTCCATGGAAGAGTGCTGAAGAATTAGGAGATTATGTTTTAAAACCACCACAGTTTCTAGTCATTTTGGCTGTGTGAGAAAGCTATGGGAAAGAAGAGAAAACATCTAGACAAGCAGGCTCCCCTTGCTGACCTCAGCTCTTCTCCAAGGAGAAGGAACCCTGCTGGTGCACTTTGGTTTTGTCAATAGGGAAAGGGTGGTGTTTGCTGATGAGTGAGAGAGCTTAAAAATGTGCAAACCTTTTTAAAGCACTCATTATTTTGGGGGGCTTCTCTGGTTTGAGTGCTGTGTCCCCACCAAAACTTCATGCTTAATTTGGTATGCTGTGTGTCAATGTTGGGAGGTAAGAAAAAGGGAGATGATTGGGAAGAAGGGGACGGATCCCTCATGAATAAGTTCCTTCTCCCAGGAAGGAGTGAGCTCTTACGGGTCAGTTTCCAAAAGAGTAGGTTTTTATAAAGCAAGCATTGGCTTCTCTCTCTTTGTACTGCTTGTGACCTTCTGTTTCCCCCCAGGGGGTAAAGTAGGACATGAGTATCACAAGAACTGAGCAGATGCCAGCTCCATGCTATGGGACTTTCCAGCTACCAGAAACAGGAATCAAATAAATCTCTTTTCTTGTAAATTGCCCATTCTCAGGTATTCTGTTACAGCAATGCAAAACAGACTAAGTTAAGGGCCCTGTATTGGAATGTTGGCCCTAAAATAGGAGTGCCCACTCTGCCCTCACTTACCTGTCATGCAGCTCAGACACTAATAATTGGACAAAATTCTAAATATAAAGAGGCTCTTGAAAATGAACATACATTTTTTAAGACAAAATGTGTTTTGAAAATGAATCCCAAAGCACAAGAAAATATAAATTACCATTGGAATAGCACGATCTACTTATCTTCTTGTTTTTACTGGAGAATTCTCATTTTAGGCATGTCAAAATGACTTGCCATGTCATAGCTGTGCACCACTAAGAAATGACCATATTCCCCTCCTTTGGCAATTGGTATTTGCACAGGGACTTGGTAGTTGCTCAGGAAACAAAATTCCCTGGATATTATTGTTGGTTTTAGTAGGAGATTCGTCCTTGCTCTTGAAGATAAGAATTGAATCTGGGCACCAGCAGTTAGCATAATGGCTATGTCGCTGGACTCCCATGTGGTCAACTGCAGTTCATGTCCCGGACCCGGTGGCTTAAAACTCGTGCCGGGTGTGTGTGTGTGCGTGCCCAGGATCCTGA